AAGAGAACAGCATCTACTGCCATCGACAAGCGGGCCACATGGGCCCATAAAAATGTTGTGTTTGAGTATCATTCCCACATGAGAGTGTATGACGCGATTGACCAAAACTCAACTTAAAGAGGCTGCGGAAAACAATTGATCCAGATGTCGAACAATAAGGATTAATATTCGTGCTGGATGTACACGGGTGGAGATGGCTGGTATGGCGAGGTCAAGTTCATGGAAATTTATAATAGAAATGTGATGTCGGGCGTCTGCTACGAGAGAAAGCGCAACGCAACATGATGAAAATAGTTGTTCCGCGAAATGGACTCATTTGAGTCTTTATAGGGCTTGACTGGGGTAGATAAATATGTACAATCAAATAGCTTTGTTAATATTTGGTTGAAAGGCAGAGACCTGAGGATAATACAGTCATCTCAGCTTTTTGTTCCGCTGAGATCCGCAAGATGCTTTTCCAAGACCTGTTCCTATCGCCCAATCTCACTGCTGAGCACACTTGGCAAACTGCTGGAAGCGGTTATGGCCAGAAGGCTGTCATAATAACGTGGAAATATTGGAGAATGCTTCCCTCAAGAATCAGTTAGATCTCTACAGGTGCGATATTTGAGTCGCCTTAAAAATTGGGGTAGTAGCAATGCTCTTACAGAGACTCGTCTTAGCACACGGTCAACTACAGCTGAGGCGAAATGCAAATCGCTATTGCCCTGCACAAAATCGCACCGTTCTCTAGGGCGCCTCAAATACTGTGGTCCAGGAAAAGATAAGTATGGAGATTCTATGGTTGATTCAATGGACTCCGTTCAAGATAATGTAACCCGTGAGTTTGATTATAAGCGCCTAGATCATTTCATTTTCTGGTTGCTCTCATCTACTTACTTCTGTTTAAGAGATGGAGAAGCGGCGAAAGCACGACTTCTTGCATGGTGAGGCGGTAAGCTGAAAATGCAAAGCGGTGCTGCGGTGCTGAGGGGCGGTCATAAGTGCGTCCCAGACTTTTAGAACGCCACTTTGTCAATCCCTGATGGTTGTGATAGACCATGATTATGCTTTGCCATTCTTTGCGATAGGCAGTTACCTAGGACAGGCCACAATTCGCTATTTCTTGCGAAAGGCAATTTCCTACAACAGACGCTTTCCTGTAATGAGCGGTTGTCCTCACTTTCCCAGTCAACAAATTTCTTCCAAGATGGAATTGAACGAGCCAAGACCGTGTGAAATTACTTGATAGGGTTAATATTGGAACAAGTTATCGGGTTATTTTTGGAAATGTAGAAGACAAAACATCTCCTGTGCAGGTTTCGCCCCATCGAACTCGACTGTCGATCATGCATAAAAATATTCCAGTGTCAACGACAGCGACGAGACAAGTAGTTATATACTTACATGTGTCGCCTTCCCGGTCGGTCACATCGAGAGCTAGGTTCATCTCATGAAGACTGGCCACAAATTCTGGGATTGTCATATTGTATGATTCTTTGGATTCCACTTCCTGCAATGTTGTTTGTTCTTCATTTGCAACAAATACTTACTGAACTGGTCGGCGCGCCGGTTGCGTCTTCGTGTAGTGCCATCGCCGTTCTCTCTTTGCGACGCTCGGCGATCCCTTCCTCTGCCTCCGTCATACTGGGTTTTTGCAAGCTGATGAGGTGTCCTCGTGTCCTGAATACTCATGGCCTCCAGACTTTCCTCGATAAAAATTTCCGATTAGTTTACACGATTGTAGAACGTGACGGGCTAGCTAAGTCTTTTTGGGAGTGATTGAATCCCAAGACAAAGACAGGAGGAAAATGTCGGCGACTCTTAGAAGTAAGAGATAGCTCCAGGAAGCAATAAGCGAAGTTGAGCTCTATGCTCAGGGCAGTGGTCGGTATAGGTTTTCCCTGGTGCTCTTTGAAATTTATTCTCTTCCAGCTTTGTCGCAGTGTTTTCCGGCGAGAGCTGGTGTGCTTTAGTACGCAACACAAGTATACCGCTGTCGCATCTGTCATCAGAGCCTTGGGAGATGAGCTGGAAGCATAGTTTTTTCAATGATGATTAATGGCTTGATATAGTGTGATCATGATCTCACGTTAAAAAAAATGCTATTTGCCCATTTAAAAAGGTTGGTAACATTGTGTCGGCCTATCATCAGATTAAATCTGAATGAAATCTAGCGCTCAACGGCGAAGCAACCAGATTACGCAATAAGCGGCAAGGTGAGCCCGTATCTAAGCCATTTGGATTAGCTATGATGGTAAAAATGTACCAAATGAGCAAGGTTAAAGGTTCCTCACTTTCTGTGGAAGAACAATTCCTCTTGCAGAGCTTAGGGAGGCACAGATTGTCACTTGCCTATGCGTAACACTTACACAGATATTCGTTGAAAGAGTGCTAGGGAACCTTAGAAGCGTGCCGTGGCAAAAGCTCCAAGAGATAGACACAATTTTCAGCGAAAGCCGCATGATTATTCTCATCTCTTTGATAATAAAATTATAACTATAACTATTCCACGTCGAATAACAGCATAATTCTCCAACCCTACTTTTATATATCGCCATGCCAATACCCCGAATAATGCCCCACCACCCGCTTCTGAGCAGCCTTGTTCATCTCCTAATACCGGCGATGCATGGGATCAGATTAAGCTCTGATACCAACAAAGCCTCTCTCAGCCGTCGCGAAGTTCAAGCACCGCAGCCCACCATATATCCGAGGTCACTCCGTTAACAAAGCGGGCCGGGATCCATGTCCATCTCGAAGGACTAGAGATAAAAGACCTAGGTCCTAGTTGGACAGTCCGGACAAGAAAGCATTGTGCGCGCGGTTAGACCAGGCTGTGCTCCAACTCAGCCTTGCCATTATCCAGAACAGTACCGCGTCGAAAGTTCGATTCGGTGCTCGTCTCCTATGCTGCGGTATGGTTTTGAAGCCCTACCCAGGGGGTGGGACACGATCGGGAACCATACGTCTATCCTGTCGCAGTTAATTTACGACTGCCAAATGGTGACCCTTGCGTCTAGAGAAAGTGAATTAAGCATCAGTTACAGCTTTATCTGACTAGTAGAATGCCTTCTTAACATAAGACAGAAAAGGATCACCAAGAGTAAACACCTTCGATTATTTAAACATCCTTGTCTGATGCACAGGGGTAGTAACACCTGGCGATCCCCAAAAGAACTGTGTTCTACGCTTCCCCCCTTTCAATCCATGCCTCTGGTTCTGTCTGCGCAGCTTTTGTTCATAATCGCGCATTTGTTTGCTTTGCTTCCGACTTTGACGCTGCTGGTCTCTCCAGTCTAGGACAGCGTTATCGGTACCGAAGAGTTTGCGGAGCCAGTCTAGCATGGTATTTTCTTCAGATTGAACCTAAGTGCTTGCCTTCCTGGTTTGGTCACGGAGAAGACCAGCGTATAGGATATAAAAGTGGCAATGTCCAGGAGACTGAAAATATAGAATCAGTTGACGAATCTTTTCTCTTGTGAAATTATGTTACCCTTGAGCTCAATTCGACATGACGAGTTACCGTCATTAGCTTGTTGTGTGGCAGATGTCGTAGATAGAGTCTATTCTAGCATGAGCAGCCGTGGGCATTCGTTGAATTTATAAGGTTATGAACTACTAGTCAGCCCAGGTGACTAGTGGGGGCGTGGTCTCACTAGATTTGCGATCATGTGACGCGTCACTTGTTCTCTTGTGTGGAAACCAAGATGCTTCACCAATTCACCAATGAGGGGTGCTTTGAGGCTCAGCTGGAAGCAATACAGTTACTAATCAATTTCAACATCCTACCAAATAACTTCAGCAGGCAGTACAGGAGGGCACGATGTTCTAATAATCCTGGTGATTTCTTCTTTTCTTCTATTTTATCAATTACCTATTGCGGACAGGGATCAGCAAAATAACCTGGGTCTTTCTTTGATTTCCAACCCCATTCATTGATAATACTACCCACTACGGACTATCACCAATCCTAGTATCTCTGAACTTGCGTCGAAACTGCATATATCTTAGAAAATATCATTACAAGTTAACATGCAGTGGGCATCTCTTTTGAGACAGCAATATGATGATATTGTATGTGTGTACGTTAGCGAGCTAACTACGCGAGGAGGCGACTAGGTGGCTAGGTCCGAGATCACGTGATCTCCTTTCACATCTTTCCGGTTATATACTAACGTAACCCACGGTTAAACGGCCCACACGGTTAGGCGGCCCATCCTACTATCCCATATAAAATATACTTTTTTAAATCCATTATATCTCAGCGAATACTGTATTTGAGTAGTTCTAATATTATAGATAGATTATATATATAAGAATATATATTTTATACATTTTTCAGATCTTTAAAAATTTTTATTTATATCAATAGATCTTATTTTTATATAATATATATAGAATACAGATATTATATTATAATTATCTATTATATATATTTATTAGATTTTTAGAACATAGCTAAGAATTCTTTATACTATTTTATATTTAAATATCAAACTTCATATCTCTTCGATTTTTGATAGTTGAGATATCTTATATTCAAAAGGATCTTTTATATAGTATTACCAGCTGGGCCGCCTAACCGTGTGGGCCGTTTAACCGTGGGTTATGTTATCTCAGTCAGCTTTCTTTGAATACTTATAGTTATGATGGCTACAGCGTTTAAGGATACGTATTACCATACGGTCAAATAAATTTATGGGGTGCAGCACTTATTACTAATACCACTGATCCCGGAGGATATAGTACTATTAGTTTATTAGTCCGTTAATGGCATAAAAACAGCCTTTGAGCGTCTTTCATGCTCTTATGGGGAAGAAGAGTATTTTAGGCCTGTGCAACATGGGCCACAAAAAAGGGAGACCAATTGGAAAAGAAAAAAAGAGAGAGAGAAGAAAAGAAGTAGAAATAAAGAAAAAAAGAAGGAAAGGAATGAAGGAAGGAAAAAAGGAGACAGAGAGGGAGAGAGTCAATACATGATATGTGATAGGATAACCCGGCTATCGGGGTCCTGAGCATCAAAATAATATATTATAGCAGTTATAAAAGTCGTGAGGTCATTGATAATAGTTCTATATTTTTCTAATATTTATAAAATACTGATCTCTTTGTAAGAAGACTGATTTCTCAAGAATTAGTTTATTCTATAGATATAAACTACCTTTGTTATTATTAAATAAATCTATTATATTTAGTAGTTAATTTCTTATCTAATCAACAAGCTTTCTATTCTAATAAATAGATTCTATTATATTTAAATTTTTTTTTTAATTATTTAAGAAAGATGCTACCCCTCGGAGACAATAAATAAAAAAAGACATCCAGTAATTATATTAATCTAAAATTATTATCAAATACTATTTCTACCACTGAGAAAATCCAACAGTTAAAAGATTATATTTATTAATTAGAATAAACTACTAATCTATAACAGAAAATAGTCTATTTCCAAAGAAATAAATTTTTAAATAAAATATTCTTAAAATACTATTAATCCTCTTCCAAATCAGAAAAAAATAAGAAGAAAATTAAATTCAAAGATTTTTTTATTTTATTCTGAACTTTAATCTTTAAAAGTATTAGAAATAGATTACTAATTTAAAATATATATTTCGGAGGGCTTCTAGAAAATATTTATTAAAAAAATATAAGATTCTTGTTACTATTAATTATATGGACCCAGCATGCAGGCAGAGATGGTACCATTTTATTAATAATAAAAATCTAGAAGAAAGATAATTTCTCAAGAAATTATAATTTTAATTTAAAAACTAGACTTTTATTTTAATTTAGAATATTACTATCTTTTAATCAGATACTATAACTCAACTTAAACAGGTCTATTAATAATATAATCAAAATCTAAAAAAATTCTATATTTATTTTAATATCTTAAAATAATATTTTCCTTGGCAAGCCAAGAAAAAAATAGTCTTATTATATTTTATTAAATTATTATCTAA